TATTTTTAGAACGAGCTAAACAAGTGTAGTTGTGTTTCGTGGATCAGTACTTTTGCATGGCAAAGTGTTGCAAAAAGTTGTAAATGAGAAACTATTAACCAAAGTGTGCAGATTAATGAGAAACTAACCATTTTTATCCGAATCCACACGTTTTCGAAAAAATCAATAACAAAATTGAGTAACTTCTATAGTAATTAACATAACCAAACTTATTACAAATTTTGTAAAATGTATCTTTACTTTCAGATTGAAGCACTAATAATGGAGATGAATACTAAAATTTGATCTTGGATAATTGTTTTTTTTTTTTTTTATTAAATATAATATAAAAAAAATAAGAAATAAAAATGTTTAATGGAGCTTTTTTGTATGTCGGCCAGATCGGTTATATGGCAGCTATATGAAATAGTGCTTTAAATCATTTAAAATTTGGCAGGTCATCTTGGGAGCTTCAAAAATGTATACAAACCAAATTTAAATTCAATAGGTTTAAAATTAGAGTTTATGCAAAAAAAAAATCGAAAAAAAAAACCATAGTGCGGTGGTAGGCCTAAGGGAATCATCCCGCAACTTCAAAGCGACCAGCAGAACTCCTCTGCGGATAAGCAGCCGACTTTAGCAACCCCTCAAATGTTGCTAAGATCGGCAGCTAAAAAATATTCGGACCCCGATTAATCCACAGTGGAGTGTATGAGACCAATGCCTATAAAAAGTTCCGATTTGTCTGAAGGTGGTTCTCGACCTGTAATTCCACCTAATCCGCTAAATATTCCCCCACAAGAGGTTTCTGAGACCGGACTACCGGCCCAAATTGTCACTGCAGGTCCATACCCCTCATTGTGATTCCACAAACGAAACAAATATTTGTTTCTCGGCTACACCCTGATCTCACATCATTTGATGTTTCGTCTTATATCAAAGCCAAAATAAATGCCGATAACGTGAAGGTGGAAAAATTTAACTTTTCATATTCTACGAACATTTCATCTTTCAAGATAAGTGTTCCTGACGAACTTTTTAACACCATATGCTCGAGCGATTTTTGGCCGGCAAAAATGGTGGTTAAGGAGTTCGTGGAAAAAATAAAAAAGAAAGGTCCTACGGGAATAAAACTCCCCGGTCGGGACCAACAAACTGCGCCGTCCTTAGCTCCTTCCCCAAAAAACTAACCACTAACTTCTTAATTAGCTATCAGAATACAAGAGGTTTGCGTAGCAAGCTAATCAAATTGTATACTGATAGCTTTTCGTTTGCATTCCAAGTTATTGTGTTTACAGAAATCTGGTTAGCTCCGAAGTTTTTCCCGGTAAGTACACAATATATAGGCATGACCGTCCCTCTAGACGGGGAGGGGGCGTCCTTATTGCAGTGGACGCTAACCTCACGTCAGAAAAGGTTTTGACAGATGATCCTTTGAAATTAAAGTAAGAATTTTTATGGGTAAAACTGTCTGTCGCTGGCAGGTTAATTTTTATTACCTGCTCTTACATACCTCCTTCGTCCGATCTTGAGGACTATTTTAGGCACCTATCAGCTATAAAGTCAATTTCGATTTCTTTGTCCGATATGGATCAGTTAGTAGTTCTAGGTGATTTTAATATACCTGGAACTTCGTGGTCCTCGGATGATAATTCCAATGCTTTACAACCTATAGGCCAAAATAAATTCATTGACGGTCTACTTCACATACCTCTGTGTCAGGTAAACCATGTTCGAAATTCATTAGATCGTTTACTTGATTTGTGTCTTGTCTCAAATCCTGAAAGTGTTTTTCTTTCTAGAGCAACACCATTTACGCTGCCTGAAGATCCCTATCACCCTGCTTTCGAGGTGACTATCGACACTGGTATAACAGTTAAAAATAATGCTATAAAGGCAGCCAAGCGAACTCATTGTTTTCGCAGGACTAACTTTCTGAGACTTAATCAACTTATATCTGGCAATGACTGGTCCGATCTCTACTCCTGGCATAACATGGAAGAAGCCATTACAATTTTTTATTCGGCAATCAAATCGTTTTTTAGCTCGTGTGTTCCGCTATATATCCCATCAACATCCAATAAACCACCTTGGTTTAGCAAGAAGTTGTCACACCTTAGGAATTTAAAGTCCAGACTTTATAAAAAATATAAGATTTCAGGTTGTCAGTCTGTTTTTGGAAAATACATAAGAGCTCGGTTAAACTTTACCGTGCTTAACGCTCAGTGTTACAAAAATTATTTAGTTCGTTGCAAGTCCCAGTTTTTACGGGATCCTAAACGGTTTTATAATTTTGCTAACACTAAGCGCAGATCATCTTCCTTTCCGCATTCGCTTTCGTTTGAAACTGCTAATACTGACCAGGCAATAGCCGATCTGTTTGCCCAATTCTTTCAAACCACTTACTCCACAGTGTATCATTCAAATGAGCAATATTTATACGCCATACCTAAGTCGAACTTAATATTTCGTCCCTTTTTAAACGAAAGCTCCCTTCTTTTGGATCTTCAACGTGTTACACCAGTTTACTCCCCAGGTCCTGACGGGATTCCTGGGTGTGTTCTTAAACACTGTGCTAATGCATTGTGTAAGCCCCTTCTCAAGCTGTTTCCCCTATCCCTACAAACTTGTCAGTTTCCCCTTGTTTGGAAGGAGTCATTTGTTATTCCCCTTAATAAAAAGGGAATCAAGTCGGATGCTAGCAATTATAAAGGTATTTCTAAATTAGCAATTCCAACGCTTTTTAAGCGAGTAATAACTCCTCACTTGCAGCACCTATGTATATCAGTCATATCTCCATGCCAACACGGATTTATGAAGCGCAGGTCTACTACAACAAATCTTTTAGAGCTCACATCCTTCGTGATAAATGGCTTTAAAAATCATTTTCAAACTGATGTCATTTACACAGACTTCAGTAAAGCATTTGACTCTGTAAATCACTTCCTATTGATTCGCAAACTTGACATGATAGGGTTTCCAGCAGATCTTTTAAGTTGGCTCCTTAGCTATCTCAGTGGCCGAATGCAAAGAGTCCTTTTCAAAAATTCCTTAAGTAGTCTCCTCAGAGTTACCTCTGGTGTACCACAAGGAAGCCATCTGGGACCATTACTTTTTACCTTGTTTATTAATGATCTTCCATCGATCATTGCGCATTCCCGCGTACTTATGTACGCGGACGATGTAAAACTGTGTCTGCAGTGTAATAAATACTCCCGTCACTCAAACCTTCAAGCAGACCTAAACAATTTTCAAAACTGGTGTCACGACCATGGTACAATTATATAAGGTAGTCCCGTCGGCTGCAAAATCGTTCGGGTTCTTTCCCCCTATCGACCCGAACCCATAGGAAAACACTCTCTCTCTCGCTCTAATTGTAGTGTCGATAGGGGGAAGAAAAAGCCGACGGGACTACCTTATATAGTTGTACCATGGTCACGACAATTTACTGAAATTAAACAATTCTAAGTGCAAGCTGATGAAAATTGTCGGGTCAATCCGCATATTGTCACCTATTCGCTAAGTGGTAATGCCTTGGAAAGGATAACGCTTGTTGACGATCTTGGCGTCCTCTAGTCCTCTTCTCTTTATATCGTTGGTCCGACCAATCCTTGAGTATGAGGCACCTGTACTGGATAAAGTAGTGACAGTGTAAGATCCTTCGTGTCGCTGCTACAACCACAAGCAAAGGTGCCGATCACTAATAAATACATACATTTCTAACAGCGTGTTTTGATGCTTAAATTTTGCACTATTGCAATGTATTTTTTTTCTGCACGACGCAATATCCGGTAAAATTTTTCAATTTTCTTGAAAAATTTCGTTCGTATAAGCGGTTTGTCGCCAAAAGCGGCAACGCTCTAAGCGGAGGCCCTTTCATATAAGTTTGTATGGGGACCAACCAAACCATCGAGTTTTCGTCACACAACCCGGACGGACACTATAAGCGGAGTCGTTATAACAGGCTTGTACTGTATTTACAAAAAAAAATATAAGTTCGACAATTTAGAACCGGTGAAAACGACAACATGAAAGAACTGTGACGACGAATACCGATCAAATCATGGATGATGTTTGGGTGCCTTATGAATTGACGCAAAATACCCTTCTGGACCGAAAATGTGCATGCGATATGCTGCTGAAACGGTACGAACTCGACGTTTTGCTGTGTTTGGCATGATTGGTAGCGTATTATTCACCATGATCTGCTGGCGCTTGATTCTTCTATCTACTGCGGAAAACTGGACAGCTTAAAGCAGGCGGTCGACCAGAAACGTACAGAATTGGCCAACAGGAAGGGGGTAGTAGGAATTCACCGGGACAACGCCAGACCATTCACTTCGTTTATGACTCGTCAGAAGCTACGGGAGATCCAATGGGAGGTTTTATCGCATCCACCATAAAGGCCGAACATAGCGCCAAGTGATTACCACCTTTCCCTGTCCACGTCGAATGCTTGTAAAAAGTTTCCTTCGCTTCCACGAAGAGGGTATTATGAAGTTGCCGTCTAGATAGAAACAGATTATCGAACGTCGCATATTTTAACTAAATCCGATCACTGTAAAACTTTTAATAAAGCATTAAATAAAGAGCAAGCGGATGGGAGATATTCGACAACCTTATATATATTCTAACAGTTTATTTTTACTGTTTTATGTGGATAACCTCCTAGTGAGTTTACAAAATATTTGTAACTTACATTTTTTAACAACACCAAAATATACTTTTCTATTATTCAGAAAAACGTCAAGAGGATCTGTTTCTTGGTAAAAGATCTTCGCGTTTGGAAATAAGAATTAGTAAAAGTAAAGCGTATATATGAAAAAAATGATTTTATCTGAACTGATAAAAAAGAAATGTGTTTTTATAATATTTTTATATGTATATATTAAATGTTGACCATAAGGATAAGTATGTATTAATATTTTATACTAGTGTTTTAATATTTCTGCAAAAATTATGTGCAGATTAAAAAATCCTTTTATGTTAGTCCCACTTTTAAAAATACTTTACAAAACTAGTTTCACTGTGAGAAGTTATTTAACTTTCGTGTTTATTTCCTCTACAAACAGTTAATCAATAGTTTTTTAAGACAGTAGCTTATTATATTTTATTTCTCTTCTGATTTTATATTTTTCATAATTATTATCATAAATGTTTAATGGCTGCTATCCCGTTTTCGAAAATACAGTATTTGTAATAATGAAATAACCACTTATTGCTGATTATTGGGATTCATTTGTCCATTGACGATAGGTAAAAAATATGGATGAGCCATAGCTTCGCGAGCAGTGAGTCGGTCAACATGATCATAGCGTAATAATTTATCAAGAAAGTCTAGTGCTTCAGGAGAAACTAGATGTTGGTTGTCTGAATGAACAAACCTTTCCCATCGCTTTCGGGAGTGCCGTTGTAGAATGTCGTGAAATCTTGGATCTAGGTCAATATTGTATTTATCTAAATACGCGTAAAGTTCTTCAGTGCCCAGCACCTTAGCAATGCGTACTAACTGATCATAATTGTCGTGTCCATGGAAGAACGGCTCTTTTCGAAATATCATGGATGCCAACATACATCCTAATGACCACATATCAAGTGAATAATCGTACATTTGGTAATCTACCAGCAACTCGGGACCTTTAAAGTATCTGGACGCCACACGAACATTATACTCTTGCCCAGGATGATAAAACTCCGCAAGACCCCAATCTATAAGGCGCAATTTTCTATTTTCATGATCGATCATAACATTATGGGGCTTTACATCGCGATGCATTATTCCCATGCTGTGACAGTAGTCAAGTGCCTTTAGAAGCTCAAACAAATAATAGCGAATCTCATAATCAGTTAATGTTTGGTAAAGTTGCTTAAAATCCGTATTATTAACATGTTCGAAAATTAGCGCCGGGGTCCGAGAAACTGGATCCTTTACAACGGCTAACAGTGTTATTATATTGGTTCCGCCACGCAAGTTCTCCAAAATTTTAATTTCACGCTTTATCTTCTTCTTTTTCACAGGTTTTAGAATTTTCACAACACACTTTTCTGTGGTTGTAATATTTATAGCCTCGAATACCTCAGAATACTTTCCACGCCCTAATTTTCGGACCAATTGGTAATCGTCTTGATTGCCCCAATCAACAACATAATTCTCGTAGTCCCAATATTCATCTGGCTTGTGCGCATTCACATCTGTGTACACACGAGCCGCACTTGGTAATGTCATTTCGTGTAATGTGTCCTTTTTTTGCTGCTCTAATTTAAACCTCGGATAGGGGTGAATCAATAACTTTGTGTGAGCTGTTTCTGTTTTCAGTCGAATGGTCCAAGCAACACTCTTTTTGTTGAACAACAGTCTGAAATAAAGAAGATGTAAATTATTTTCTTATATAATATTATGCCCTAATCCAAGGGTGCTCTTCTTTTTGTAACTTTTGGGCTAGGCTTTGCTGATTCCCAGCGATATCTCCTATTGAAAAAGCCAAGCCATTATTTAAACACACTTTTTTATCGTTTAGACACCCCTGCCTTACAAAAATTGTAAAAAAAAAAAAAACAACCATGTTATATATATTTTTTATACCCTTTTGAAAATGTGTTTAAATTTCAGTGAGATGTTTCCAGTGGCATAGGAACTATAAAAAAATAATGGAGTTCAAATTATAACGACGTTGTTCTTTATCATACGAACATGAATATAGATTTTTATCGATATTTGATATAGAAATATCGATTTTTGCTTCACATATCAAATAGTTGCCATAGAAAAAGTTAAAATTAATACATAGGTCGAGAAGTACTATAGTACGCCTAATTGTTATTGGTGTACGTCGGGCCGTTTTGACTTACAGACAGCACAGGATTTATTCGGACACCCGTGATTATTCACCAATAATTCAAAAAAATATATAATGAAAATAAAAATGTAATATTTCATATTGAAGAACAACATCCTTCGCATATTTTAAAAGACTAAATACGAAACTTTTAACATAAATACTAATAGTATTTTAAAATAACCTAAAAAATCATTTTTTCTCGCATAAATATTATTCTTAGACTTTAAGGAATCCGGATAAAAACAACTTTTTTTGGTAAAATTTGTTTTTAACATTTGGTGAGCCCTCCCTTACCATCAACAAACGCTTGTAAACTTCTACCCATGCTGTTGACCCACTTGACTGTCTCATTAGCGCTTATTTTATCTCATTCCGCCTGCAAGGCGGTTCTTAAAGATTCCTTTGAGGATATACTGTGCTTCCCTGTTTGATGTTCCATACGTGTTCTATTGGGATTAAGTCTTGAGAATGGATAGCTGTTTGCAGTTCATTGGCCATTCTTGCACCAAATAGGAAGAGTGCTTCTTGTTAAAACATGAGTTTCACTGGATCAAATCCAAGGTTTAAAACACTAGGAATTTAAATAAGGCTTAGAATATCCTTATACAAATTATCCTTTGTCAAAATAAAAGTGAAATATACTCGAAACTTGAACTTGCTTCTTTTAACTTTTGGTATCAATGGAAAGGTAATTCAAATGCCGTTTGAATAATACCATACTTTTCTCAACTCATTCGATATTTATTGAAAAGGGCCATTTTAAACAAAAAAGTCAAAAAAAAAACTTTTTCCCTCGGCTTCAAAACTAAAATTTTTGGATGCAAAAAGTTTCTTTAAACAAAAATAATAGGAACTGCAAAAAGAATTTTTCAAAAATAATTTTTCTTCTATTTTTAATGATTTTTTGAAAATGATTAAAAATACGCATTTCAGCCGTATTTTTCTCTTTTCCATACAAATTTTTTCCGACATTGTCACCTTTAAAAAATCATTAAAAATAGAAGAAAAATTTTTTTGAAAAATTCTTTTTGCAGTTCCTATTATTTTTGTTTAAAGAAACTTTTTGCATCCAAAAATTTTAGTTTTGAAGCCGAGGGAAAAAGTTTTTTTTGACTTTTTGTTTAAAATGGCCCTTTTCAATAAATATCGAATGAGTTGAGAAAAGTATGCTATCATTCAAACGGCATTTTAATTACCTTTCCATTGATACCAAAAGTTAAGAGAAGCAAGTTCAGGTTTCGAGTATATTTCACTTTTATTTTGACAAAATACTTATGGCCACCATTGTATGTATATAGTTTCGCTCCTTTTATCTTCTATAAAAACCATTCTGCCGTCTCTACACGAAGCTACAGACCCCCAAACCATCACATTCCCGCCACCATGCTTAATAGATGGTAACAAGTTTTTCTCTTGCACAGCTTCACTTGCCCTTTTCCATACTTAGGGAGGACCGTCGTGTCCAAATATGTTGTATTTCCATTCGTCACTTAAAACTAAGTTTTCTCAGAACGAATACCTCTTGCTTAAATACAATTTTGTAAACTCCAAACTTTTTTTGTAGATGGCTGAAATAAAGTCAGCTTGTAGCAGATATTGTTTTTTCCGCTCCCGGCGTGGTGTCAGTATGGTCTGCAGCAAAATCTCATGTTTCAAAATATTTTGTTGTCACGCTATGTATTGTGGAAGGTGATTTGCCAATTAACTACCAATTTCCCGATAGCCACGAGTCTCCATATGCTGTTTTAGTATCGATTTTCGTAACTTCAAGGACAAATCTTGACTACGTGCCATTTCGTCAAATATTATTAATAAACGCAGCGAAAAAAACACAAAGTGATTACAAGTTAAATACAAAATAAGAATGACCGATTTACTGTGCAATCAGAAATAGAAGACAATAAATAAAAAAGGGTACAAACAACTTGTGTGCCGTTTTGGATTATATTTGGATGGCCCTGATGGGCTCAAATTAAGTTTTTTTTTCATCGGAAAATATAATCCAAACATTAAAAAAAATTAAAATGAAGCTTAGCAGGAGCCTTTAAGAATAGCTTACTGAGCGCGAATTCGTTGCAAAATTTTCTTCTGCAAAATTGTGCCGCGTGTGCCTCATGAGTTATCCCAAAAAAACCTTTTCGACCGTGTATCAATCTGCGAATCTTTGTTGCACCGTAATAAACTCGACTCATTTCTGGATCGGTTAGTCACTGTTGATGAAAAATGGATCACATATGACAACATAAAGCGTAAAAGATCCTGGTCGAAGCACGGTGAGTCGTCTCAAACGGTGGCAAACCCAGGACTGACGGCTCAGAAGGTGTTGCTGAGTGTATGGTGGGATATCAGAGGAATTATCCATTATGAAGTGCTGCCCTATGGCCAAACCATCAATTCTGACCTCTACTGTGAACAACTGGAGCGATTGAAGATTGCACTTGAACAGAAGCGGCCAGCCATGGTGAATCGTAATGTTCCATTGTGTTCCATCATGACAACGCCAGGTTCCATACATCTTTGGTAACGCGTCACAAGCTACAGGAGCTTGGTTGGGAAGTGTTAATGCATCCACCTTATAGTCCGGACATTGCCCCAAGCGATTACCATCTGTTTTTGGCCATGCAACATTTTTTCAATGGACAAAAATTGAGTTCAAGGGAGGATTGTGAAAATCGAATCGCCGAGTTTTTTGCCAGTAGGGACAAGGAATCCTTAAGGAGAGGCATATACAAGTTACCATCAAAATGGCAGAAAATCATCGAAGACAACGGTACACATAGCACTTAAATCGGACAATAAATAACTATGTTAAAATCGTCGTCAAAAATCAATAAAGAAACCGGTATATCATTACCAAACAACCCAATATATATACACTCAAAATCGTCAAAAAAAAATTTCGATTTTTTCGAAATTGCAACTCGATATAACCCCTTAAACGTCGACCCATGCTGTTGACCAAATTGGCCGGGTCTTTTATCCAATTCCACCTGTAATGCGGTTTTTAAGGATTCCTTTAAGGATATACTGTCATTCCTAATTTTTTTCTCAAGTTTGTCCCATACGTGTTCTATTGAGTTTAGGGGCACAAGTAGTGCGACGGCCTAAAAAAAAGGTGATTTTTGGGTTTTTTTTTTTATTAAAAAAAACTACTTTATCAATTATTTCAAAATTTTCAGAATATATTTATACATGTTTTAAGAATATACAGTGAAATTTTTGAAAAAAAAAAAAAAAATATTTTTTAAGTTATAATCGATTCTCTTTCAAAATTTATTTTTATATAGCTGAAATTAAAGCCTTTCGGCGATGTAAACCATCCTTGTACAGGTTGCGGATTGTTGGGGGCAAATTATTAAGGTTCAAGGGGTTATATACCTTTTTCAAGCTCAAAAAATCGAAAAAATTTTTATGATTTTTTTTTTTCTATTTTTCTGCAAAATTTTGTAGAGATCAGGGCACTAGAACCTAAGATACAGCCGTTCATAGCGCACGGTGTACGGTGTACCTAATGTCCACCTAAAACTTTAAAGGCGATTATCTCGGAATCGCATTTTTGAGAAAAGGTCATTGCGGTGAGCACGATATCTCGGTAACCACTACATCGAGCGATTTGAAATTTTGGGGGATTGTTTGTAGATACAATAGCTAGTTCGTGAACGAAGGAATTTTATTTTCGACAAATTTTTCTATTTTTTTGGGGCGAAAAACTAAATTATTAGACCTCGAAAAATCGGTTTTTTTGAAAAAATAATCACTGTAACTTTAAAAAATTTTTTTTCGTAAAATCCTTTGTTCACGAACTAGGTAACACTATATACTAACGAAGTTTTTTTTTTTTTTTTTCGTTGAGCCGTTTTCTTGTTTTCTTGTTTTCTTGCTCACCGTTAGCCACTACTTAAAAAAGGACATCTGCGGCAAGGACTATAACTTCCACAATTCTCAAAATTTTCACTCGAAATTTTTTTACGAATTAAGTTAAGGACACGTACTTTGATAAAATTTTTATTGAATTTAAATAAAACAATGGTAACATGCTAAAAAAAAATAAATAAAAACCCTGTATTTCTCTGGTGAAAAAGGTACCTATATAGCCCCTTAAGGTTTTAAAGGCAAAAAAGGCTATATTTGTCTTTTTTGCTGCGACATGAGTAATTTAATTTTATTAAGTTTAATGACATATTATTGTTCAACTTTTGAAGAGTATTAGAAATAATTTTGAATGAAAATATTAATAGGCTTTGACGGTTATGTTGAACAAAATACGTGAAGGCTAAACAACATCGAAGCTATGACCATTTTTCTATTATTTTCCAAATTTTCGACCAAATTTTTTTTTTTTATGAAATTTAATTCGTTATTCAAGAGTCGTAAAAAAAACTCTATATTCCAAAAATCACGCTTGACTGATGAAAAACAACGATGTTATAATTTTATTTCAGTTGTTTCTATATAGATTTTTCGATCTTTCCTATGGCAGCTATATGATAACGTTGTCGGATTTTAATAATGCTCATGGGAATAAAAACAACGACGTTATAATTTTTTTTGGTAAAGTTGTGCTTTAGCGGCTTTTGCTAAAAATGGGCTAGGATTTTTTTTTTTCTTTTTTAAGGGATACCTTGGGGCCTAAACATTAATAAAAAAGTGCTTAATATATTTTAATTAATAGATATTGAACTTGCATAAAACGCTTATAACGGTGAAAAAATATTTTCCCAATATGGTATTATAAGGCTGTGAAATATGCAAAAACACGCGTTTTTGGGACCTTTGAGTGTGCGTAGAAGCTGATTGGCTATTGATATTAACAAATCCAAAAACTTGTATTCTTATTTTGACTAGTAGAAGTGAAAAATAAGAAAAAATCAACTCAAACATTTTTTTGTCGCACAGTGTAATCAGCACATCACATGCAAATACGGATTTCCAACGGATTTCGAAATTTTGGAAAAAAAAAAAAAACACATCATTTGCATATTTTACTTTATTTTTTAAGCTGTTTTTACCGTGCACCGCACTTGTAAACAATTACCCATATATGTATACTCAAATTAACTTTAAATTTTATATCACATATTCAATAGCTTTTCATGAAATTTTTGAAGTGAAATTGTTTTTGTTTTTCGCAAAATTTTTTGATTTATTAATTTAAATTATAAAAGTCAGGTGAAGCATTTGTTAATATATTTTATGTAAAGATATTTTATGCAATATTTTTTCTCTGTTATGTCGAGAACGATTTCCTTTTGTTAAAAAAAAACATTTTAAAAATCAGTCAATGGTTTTATATTATTAATAAAAAAAATAAAGGCATGTTCTTATTGAAATTTAATTGTTTATATTTTATGAATGCTTTCTAACATTTAACCAAATATATGTATGTTCATAATTATTCAAAACAGGAGGCCTATTAAAAAGCCGAGTCCGTAAAGAAATCTCGGAAGCCAGACATGTTTTAATTTTTTTCTAATTTATATAATATGCACATTTACTGATGTACATATGTAGCTATATTCTTGTTTTTCATTTGCTTTATGCTGTTATAAATATATATATGTATATATATATACATAAGTGTGGAAGGGTGATACATATGTAGATATGTATATATACCTTAATATAGTAAAATGTACTCCTAAATGTATGTATTCATGCGAATGGAAGGTGGTCTACTTAATATTAGTTTCAACTCGCGCAAATAAAATAATTTCTGTCTCTACTTAATTGACATATGAGCTATACACTATAGATTTTACCGGCTTTTGCATAACAAGAAAACACAATGTGTGGATACTTGTCTATATGTAACCACCATATTGCCACATTAAATACTGATATTAGCTAAGACACATCGTACTTATACAAACACAGGATTTAACACTGAACACATGCTTTATTTCAGTTTTCAGTCATGTACAAAATCAGGCCCATTTCTACTCACGTCTTTAATAAGGCAGCATGCGTTTTTAGGACAATTTTTATATTTTAAGAAGGTTAACTTAACCACTGTCTGTTATAGAATTAGTACTGCATAACAACACAGGTGAAAGTAAAGACTTGACAACAAATCATTGCCATTTTAGGAACAACGGCAGAGAAACAAAATGTTTCCAATCCGATTTTCTTTCCTTTTCTTTGTTGGATTGAGGCGTTATTTAATTTCTTTAGAATTTCAATAAGGAATTAACCAAGAGTTAATCAACAATAGGAAAAACTAATTACATGAAGAGAAATTAATTACTGATTTTTTGAATGTCATTGCACACTGTAATCATATCAGTGTAATAAATGTGTTGTTGGTATACAAAACCATATTCCCCATAGGCACGATTTTAGTTTCCGGGGCGCCAAGATTTGAGGATATGTTTTGGGTAATTGGCCCAAAATAAATACTTTTTACTAAACAAAATTTTTTGATATCTCGACCCGTTTACGAGATATCGAGCCTTAAATATCGGCTTATAGTGCGGCCGTTTCACTGGGAAAAAATTTTTTTAAAAGAAATTATCTCAAAAATAAATATAGCATATGTATCAGTGCATAAGTGCGCGCGCACTTATGGGACATTCTTTTACAAACCGTACGGGTTCGAGAAAATTTTTTTTTTCATATCTCAGAATTGAATGAAAATTTTTTTTATAGCTTCTATGGAAGATTTTATTCGACACGTGTAAAAGGATTTTACTCAAAAAAAATAGTTTTTTATTTATTTTTTCTATATATTAAATATATTATCTCCGCTTCCAGTAGTCACATAATAATTTTTTTTTTTATTCAATAGGTATTAATGTTGCCTTTCAAGTTTTTTACTTACAATTTTTTTATTTGTTCAGAAAAAAAAATTATAAACAATTTAATGGTTTCAAAGCTGATCCCCACAACATATATAATTAGGAAAATTACAATTTAATTCTATACGTCATTCCTAAGAAAAAACACTTGGATTTAGAGTGGGGTCTCGATTAGGTAATAAGATATAAAATAACATTGATCGCGCTGCGGCAGCATGTGGAGCGCGCGCTGCGCAAAGAGTCGAAAATTATTTAATTTCTCTTGATCTGATGAAGACCCCACTCTAATTCCTTTTACTGGTTATTAAGCGAAACATAGGGATAATAAATTGATTTTTTTCAATTAAATAAGTTGTGGGGATCGGCATTGAAATGTCGATATAATGATTAATTTGTTACTAATAAATAAATAAAAAATTAAATTGAAAAATAAAATTACTTTTTGAAAGCTGAATTCTTGAACTAAATAATAAAAAAAAAATTGTAACGATACGATTAATAGAACAAGAGATAAATGATTTAACGTGTTCAAGGATAGAGAGAACCATTGATATTGTCAAAAATCATAACTTTGTAAAAAAAAAATTTTAAGCAAAATACCGGATACACGTGTCTTTTTATTTTGCTTCCTACACCTGGAAAAAAATTTTGACAAAAATCGGAATTGTTACGCAAAAAAAGGTGTACGATTTGTAAAAGAATGTCCCTTATGCATTGATACATATGCAATATTATTTTTTGAGCCAGTTGTTATAAAAAAACTAAGCTTAAAACTGAACAAATAAATTTAAGTGTTCGTCTTCGACCGAAAGTACCGCAAATCTTGAAAGTTCCACGAAAAATATGTGCAATATGTAAGTAATTTCGCCTGCTACCAGCGCTCACTATAATTCGAAATTTAGGGCTCGATATCTCGTAAACGGTGCGAGAAATCGAAAAATTTTATTTAGTAAAAAGTGTTTATTTTGGGCCAATTACCCAAAATTTGTCCTCAAATCTTGGCGCCCCGGAAACTAAAATCTCCCCATAAATATAATAAAAGCATAGTTTTTCCCTTTTAATTCTATCATCTTTTTAGTTTCATATATATAGTTTTCATGCATAGCCACCCAGAAAAAAATCATCATGTTAACATATATGTACAAACACGCTCAAATATGTCATCCTTTTGTTTTTTGGGAAAATAAATTTTTCCGTTTTATATCAACACTATATGTGTTAGGTTATGAAAATGTATATTTTGTATTTTGGAAAATGGGAAAATTCCCTTTTTTTAAGCAGAGAATATACATATGTATTTAAGTAATACCTACATATATACATTTTTATTATGGCGTCTGTAAATTTAATTATGAAAACGTTAATTACAGAACACATTCCCCGACAATAATGATTTTGGGAAAAAACTAGTTTTTACTAAGAAAATGTACTGCTTTTGAGCTTTTTTTATCATCAATAAGTAACCACACTAGAGCTGGGATAAAATCGATGTCAACATCGATTATATCGATTCTTTTTTTTTAGGCCGATGCATCGATTTGGTTTTTAGGGAATCGATGTATCGGAAGCCTAAAAAAAAAAAATGCCATCACTGTGAATAAGAAAAGAGAAAAAACTAGCAAATAAGGGTAAGTTAATTAAAATTGTGATTTAAAATGATAAAATATATCTAAAAAATAAAATATATCTAAAAAACATAAATATTTGTTTTTTTTTAGCTTTTTAAGTTCATTGTTCCATAATTTATAAGATCTTACTGAAAAAAAATATAAATATTTGTTTTTTTTTAGCTTTTTAAGTTCATTGTGCCATAATTTATAAGATATCACTGAAAATAAAATAAATATTTGTCTTTTTTTTTAGCTTTTTAAGTTAATTGTTCCATAATTTATAAGATATCACTGAAAATAAAATAAATATTTGTTTTTTTTTTCGATTTAATCGATTTAAATCGATGTTTTTTTCTGAAAAATCGAAAAGAATCGATGCACCGAGAATCGATTTTATCCCAGCTCTAAACCACACATTTTAAATTGTGAGATGACATGTTAACTTTTGCTTTGGTTGTAAAACATGTACAGATCTATGTATAAAACGGTAGTATCACACAACTCACCGTATTGAAACGATTGGGAAATTTGAAAGATGTGAAATTTACCATTAGTGCACAACTTCCATTCGACAGTGTCGTGAACTATTGTTCTAATTAAATGTTTGGCTCCCTAACTGATCTTAAGAAAAATCTTTATGTCCTAGAACCCTTAAATTGGCATTTTTCGTGCCTGTATTCCGTGCGGTAAATCGCTGATTGCAGCTGTTTTTCAGGGATGCATGCGTAAGAAACTTTACCAAAGCATAACCCGTGCGTAATCGGTTTTACAGGCAGTTTTGCACCAGATTTTTGACAGATACGGTACTTCCTGAATGAAAAGGCAACAAAAAAAGCTAGAGAGTAAAGTAACGGTGAACAGTGAAGTAAGAAGAGTAATGTTAGAATAGTAAAGAATAATAAAGAAAATATATAATAACAAGTTGAAAGCAATGTTTGTTAAAATCGGGGGTTCGGGTTTTGGCCGACCTCAGCATCTCCCTCTAGGCGCCTCTGCTCTTCGCGCGACTCCTCCAATCGAGAAATACCAAGTGCAGTCAGGTTCTCCTCCATTTGGTCCTTCCATCGGAGCTTTGTTCGTCCCCTTCGTCGTCGCCCGTGGTCGACTCTCGCTTCAAATTCCTTCTGAGCTGGAGATTCTTCATCCATACACACGACTTGGCCGAGCCAGCGCAGACGTTTTATTGGGATGCGCCGGACCACGTCCATGTCGTCGTACAACTCGTACAGCTCGTGGTTCATCCGAATGCGAAAGTCGTCCCCAATCCGAACGGGACCAAAGATCTTTAAAAAAAATTTTTCTCTCGAACACTCCAAGCACGGCTGCATCCGGCAGTGGCATTACCCATGCTTCTGCGCCGTATAAGAGCACGTGTAAGATAAGAGTCTTGTTGAGTGTCAATTTTGTTCGGCGAGAGAGGTCTCTATTGCGCATTTGCTTACTCAGACCAAAGTAGCATGATTGATTCTTCTCAGTTATTAAGGCTTTAGATAGCTTCCGAAAGACTTCTTTAAAGCTTTGTTTAGAGGCTGGGGATCGGTGTGTCTGCCAGTTTCGGCGAAGTCTACGCTTTTCTTGAAGGAGCGATTGGATCTGCATGTTTGTACGCATAGTATTTGGGAGGGATGTAGCTAAAGGGTCAGGTGTAGAGTGTTAGGCAGCTGAGGACATTACATCTGCTATGTGCTTAAGTGAGTTTTCAATGTCAGCTTCACACGAGATATTGGGTTCGATTTCAATGTGAGAGCTGATATATTTTTTATACTTTAGCCAGTTTGTTGTATTGGAAGTCAGAAATTGTGGTCGCCCACAATTGTAGAAGCCCAAAAATTCATTTTCTGGAATATTGAATCGTGGGGGACAATACACAGCTGATAGTGTGAGTGGACCGCTGGTTATATTGATACGTATGGATGTGGCCTGCAAGTAGTTAGTAGCGAATGCGTCCTAAGGATGATGCTTTATGCGCTGTTTGACGAGAATGTCGGTGCCTCCATGCGCTTTGCCATCTGGATGGTTGGTCGCGTGAAATACATAGCCGGTGAGATAAAAATAGTTTTTATTGGTTAGATGTGTTTCCGAGAGAAGCATGATATCGATATCATGGTTGTTTAGGAATTGAAGGAGTTCGTATTTGTGTTGGGAAACGCCGTTGGCGTTCCAGAAGCATATTTTTAAGGGATTCATTTAGATTGTTTAATTAAAAGCTCCAAAAGAAGATTTTGGTTTCGCGTTAGGTCTTGCAGGGTACTTTGTATCGATAGCATAATTTTTGTAAGCGTAGCTAGTGTGTGTTCAAGTCCGCTATGTGCTGGTGGGGGGGGGGAAGCTGGTTTTGCTGAGTAGTGGGTTGAGTTGTTCGCTGGGTATTTTGCTCTGGCAGCGAGTCATCTTTTCGATTTGGTATGTGCTGGAGAGAATGCACAACTTCAGGGTGAGAAAGACTTACTGGCACTGGCGATGCTCCAGAGTATCGAA